GGTCACGCTGTGTGCATTGGTGCTGCTGGTGCTAGTGCTTGTGCTTGATGAGTTGGCGCTGCTGATGGGCTTGACCAATGAAGCCTGAGAGCAGGGGAAGTTGGGGGTTGTAGAAAGCAGGGGTTCTCAACATTGCTCCAGATCCGGGGCAGATCGTTGGCTTTCATCAGCTTGACCTGAAGCCTGCCTTTCCTCACCTTCAGATAAACCTCACGGGCTCGCAAAGACGAAATAGTGCGCAGCACGGATACCGCCTCGTTGGATCGGCCCTCTTGAGTCTCGCTCGCCCACGGTTGTGGATACGGCAATGGCCGGGCTCTACTGCGAATTGGCGGTTCGGACAGCGCCGTTGCGGGAAGGCTACCGCTAAACAGCTTCCAGGATCCAGGAGGGTCGACAATCGTCATTGTCCGTGGGAAAGTGGCTCCTGAGCAATTGCAGAATCAGAAATTGTTGATATCACCGCGTAAGATCGATGTGATGGACAAGTTGCGCCAAAGCCTGATGCGACCTTGCACAGGGCAGAATCATTCATTGACTTTGAGAAGGTCTAGGGGCGAACGCTATTGCCGTCCGCTCACGACCCGCTGCTGCAGACCTGTGACACGCGAGATGGGACACTTATCGAGCGAGCATTTATCTTGCAACCCCTCTCGCTAGGTAGGTATTAGACGGACAACATACGGTTAGTCCTGGATGTTTACTTATATAGAAGTCAGTAAAATTTGACAACTTGAAGCAGCTTCAGACTTCGAATTGGCTCTCAAAGGTGGCTCATTTGTAGCTGTTTAAGACAGTCGACGACAGTGAACCCCCACAGCAGAAACCCAATCCAGTGTGACAAGTTTCCTACATTAATAGATGCCAGAACCTTGAGCTGCCACCCTTCTCGCTGCCGTTCGACCATTGCTGTGCTCGAAACCTCGGTCAGCTCCGTGATTGTATGTGTCCGGGCTGCACAATACACACAGAAATCCATAAGTGACGGAGACGTGAGCACGCTTCGGCGTTGTGTTTGCTCAACTCATCGATGGTGCTTTTTCGGAGCGCCGATGCCACAGCAACGCGATACAACATGCAACGAGCCCGCCGTGGTTGAGGGATGTCGTGGCGCAGAGTTTCAGGCAAGATGACGGCTTGTTGGTCATCCTCGGCTCACAATCAGACTTCTATGATTCAGAACGCAGCCGAAGTGTGCTCGAACTCTTCATTCTGAAAAATTGGCAGCGCGCCATTGCGGTGTATATTCCTCATTCCTTCCTTCGTCGGGTGCCTTGAGCACGACCAATGGGTATCAGAACAATACGCTTAAATACAGGCAAACATTTGCGACGAGTCCCTCAGTGGCTTGGGACTGGGTCCTGTCATCTCACAACAACCGGTCCTGGTTCGGCGGGATAGCCAGGCGGCTGATCACTCGTCAATCCAGCAGGGCTTATCGGTCCATGCCCTGCCTCCAAGTCCCTCAAACCAACATCCCCCGAATCTCCTGTCCCTCTCTTTCCATCGTACGGCGGCGGCGCCTCGCCTAGCTCATTGAGGCCTTCTTGGCTCCTCGCGCCCCAAGGACCCCATCGCCGCCCAGCACCCCCGCCATTTCTAGCGACGTTGTTTCTGTTTGGGTATAATCGCCTTGCCGGTGTAACTGGGTCCGCGTGCGTCCAATGTGGGTGAAGTGCCGCGAACTTCTTCCTCTGGCGTCGGCGATACAGCATCGCGACGATGAAAGCGCAGATGAAGACGATCGCAAGGGGGAAGATGACAAACACAAAGGGTCGTCTGGAGAGTCTTGGATCATCATTGTCAGCCATTGGTGTTGAGGAGACGACCACTCGGCGGACGGTGGCGGTGGTGGTGAGAGGTGTAGCGAGGTCGTTCGTTGGGCGAAGAATGAATGAATCAAGATTCTCGCAATTCGGTCGAGCTTTTTAGAGGAAAGACTTTGGTCTGCCTCCTTGATGAGCAGCAGTCCGGAAAGGTCGGAGTGTGACTTTTATCTCGTGCTGTGACCAGACTGCTGGCAGGTATGGTGGTGTACTAGCGTAGGCGAACAGGTGACCTTCAGGTAATGGAATGAACGCAGAAGTCTAAATCATGCCGGCTTTGACGAGAAAAGGTGTCCGTGCCTGGTATACAATCGGTCGCGACCCAGGTAAGGTATGGAAAGCGCAAGGATGGCCGTAATAAAACTATCTGGGCAGATTGTCCGCAGCCCCTCGAGGTCTGATTATTACATCGTGTGATCATAGACGATCGGCAACTGCGCCCGACTTGCACGCCTCGGAGCCTGTCGCCACCCTTTTGATGTGGTGTGGCAATGCCACGCTTGCTTGGCTGCGAAAGGGGCATCAGGTAAGCAGATTCCGGGGTTCGAGTTCCTCAGACCAGTCAAGAGTATCGCCAAGCTCCAAGCCCAATGTAATGACAGCTACAGTCGTTGGAGTGACGATTCTTGAGGCATCGCCTCAAAGAGTGGCGTCTGGCTTTGTGCGTGATAGCGAGATCTTGCAACAGACACAAGGTGATCAGGCACACGCAGCTAGTAAGCAGGCTGATTACCATCGCTTTGACTGGTAGAGGCAACATCGAATAGCATCGCGGTTTGCGAAATTTGATACTCCGCACCTTAGGTAATTCGCGGGTCCTGGCAAAGCCGTCGTCGACTACCCTGTAGTCGCACTATGACCATCGTGTACGAACCTTGCCTTATGATTCATAAGTCAAACTATAGAGGCTCCGTGATCTCCTAAGAACAGAAATCATTTATATTCGGGAATTATTCTCGCCAGATTATCTAGTGGAGTGGCCATTTGCTACTGCGGTGCAGAGATCTGATGCTCCGTGGCTGGTCAGCCACACGGTGCCCGCTGGGCTTTCGGCGCAGAACAGCACACTTCTACTGCAATCGTGTTGACCAGACAGTCCCTGTTCTACCACCACCGCATTCTTATACATCACCAGCGAAATACTCTCTTACCCTCACCATGCCCCGCGCAATCCGAGGTTCGTTCATGACCGTCACGGTTGCCAGCGCTTGGAGCTAAATGAAAGCAAGGTGTACTCGTCGAATGCGATCCGGCCATCAAGTCGATCATTGTCAACATTGACAGCGACAACCATGACTACATCATCGAGGAACTGGACGAGGAGCGCGTCGTGATCAAGGAGAACATGGTCGCCGCCCTCAAGGCGAAGCTCGAAGAGGTTTGTTTCCCCAAGCTGCTTCTTGTCCCCCGTGTCGCAACAAACCATGCTTGTCTGGTAGTCAAGCGTAGCATGCTAAACATATACCATCACAGCGTCTGGCAGAGAACCACCCCGACGACGAATCCGGGTCCGAATAGATACATATCTCTTTTCATCCAGCCGAAACTAAACGCAACGCGCGTCTTCATCTACTACAAGCTACAATTTGGCAAAGGTCGGCTTCGTCTTCTTCAGCCCGCTCACGATTCCCTTCTTGAAATCCTCGCTCTGCACCGCCACCGAGTTCCATACCGCCGTATACCGCAGACTCTCCACCGTCCCATGGTCGCGCCCGTGGTTCAGCAGCTCCTTGGTGCCCTGCACCGCCACGGGGCTCTTGCTGGCCAGTTGACCGGCCATGTCGAGCGCGGCCTGGAGAGCTGCCGCCTTGGACTCGCGCACGGAGCCGACGAAGCCGACCTCCCTGGCCTCAGCGGCTGAGAAATCGCGGGCGGTGAGGCATACCTCCTTGACCCACGAGTGGTTGCCGACGATCTTGGGAAGGCGGGTCAGGGTACCAATGTCCGCAGGGATGCCAATGTCCACCTCCTTGACGGCGAAGCGCGTGTTGGACGCGGCGATGCGAATGTCGGCGCAGCAGGCAATGTCAATCGCCAGACCCAGGGCGACGCCATGGAGCACGACAATAACAGCTGTGGTAACCTCACTGTCAACATGCGGCCGATCCATAGGAGCTAGAACAAGCAAGGGAGGGAAGGAGGAACAAGATAAAAACTTACGCTTCTCGCACTTTTCCACCGCACCAATGCAGCCTTGAAACTCCTCAATGTGACTCCTCAATCCCTTGGCCTTCCTCGCAGCGTCCGGCCCCTCGACAAACAGCTGGCTTCCCTCACTGCTGGCCTGCACGTCCAGTCCCGCTGTGAAGGCCCGGTCGCCACTACCGCTGAGCACCACAGCTCGGATGTTCTCATCTCCACTGAGTCTTGTGAAGATGCGCCCAAATTCCAGCCAGACGGGTTCCGAAAAGGCATTGAGCTTCTTGGGGCGATTGATCTCGACATGCGCGACGCCGTCGGTCGGACTGTAGATATTGAAGTAGGTGTAGGTGTACCCCGACAGTGGTGTTTGCGCCGACATATTGGGCGTTGTGTTGGCGTGATGTTTCTTGACTTGCTCGATACAAGTACTGATTTCCAGGAACGGACTAAACTGATAATCGGGATTTGTTATACTGAATTGAAAGACCAAGCAGTCGTTTGCTGAGTGTGTCTGTCTACGGAGTAGCTTCTGAAGTGAGCCCTGGGGTAAGATGGTCAGCTAATAAGCGTTTGTGTGGGGAAGCCGAGGCCCGGCATTCAACGTCGCCGAAGCGTCAACTCAAATCACATGGTCCGGAGCCGAACCTCTCTCCTTGCACGAGTTTATAATGCACTTTCACAAATAAGGACAAGAAGCGATGACATGATTACAACTCTTTAAGGCGTCTTCACTAGTGTACCCCGTGGTGTTTTTATTTGAGTCACCTTCATGGGCACACGAGATCATGGACTTTGTAGAAGATAAAAAAAATTATTTACGGTGGCTGTCCCTAGGCGGAGCTGACGGCGGCCCAGTGCAGTAAACCGATTGAAGAAAAATGTCAAAGCAGAGGGAAATTGAGCCCCCGGCCTCATGCAACTTCGCACAGCCAGGCGCCTCTTGCGCCGTATGAATGATGAAACAACAGTACTTGCTCTAATTAGTGTCTATGCGTACCATGCAAACCAAGATCGATGTGTCCCAGCTCCGCCTTACAACAACAGCGCGCCAAGCATGGCGAAGGTCGTCACTGCCATGGCGCCGCCAGCTGCGCGTAGCGACATGGCGGCATCGTCCTCGTCGCCATCGGAGTTATCGCTATCGGTAGAGCTAGCCGTTGGTGAAGCCTGACCTTGGCTGACACTAGCAGTAGCTGTGCCGCTGTCGCCAGCCGTCTGCGAGCCGGAGCCGTCCAGACCAGGACCATCGCCGGCACCTGAATCCATGTACTTTTGAGCCTCCTTAGGCATTTCGGGGATCATGTTGGAATCGACTTCCCAGTTGGATGACTTGGCCGGGCAGTCGGAAGAGTGTGATTTCTTGGAGGCACCGCCGTCGCCAGTGGGCATGGAGTATTTCTTGAGAGCAGCCTTGAACAGGTCATACTCCTTTTGTTCGTCCACCTCGCCATTCTTGATCTTGACAATGCCGTAGTCGTTGTCCTCAAGAGAATACTCGTACATCAAACCACCAGAGTAGACGCTGGTCATCTCATCGCTCATCAAGGCGCCAAGCTCTTCGAACTTGCGAGGGCGGTTCTTTATGCAGCCGTACTCGGAGAGGCTGTGAGAATTAGCTAATTTGCACTCAGTATGCTCTGAGAAGGACTTACAAGATAGGCAGGCCGTAGTCGGTGAAGTTCTTGACCTTCTGGTCCCAGCCCGAGGTCTTGAAGTCCGTGTTGCACCAAGAGTAGTCGTTGAAGGCGAAGAAGTCAGAGCGCATGTCATCAGAGCCGCAGTTGAAGTACTCTGCGGTCTCCATGCGATTCTGAGCGACATCGGCCGCCGAGTAGCCGACGGGGACCTGGCGCAGACCTCGCGAGGCGAGATAGTTCTTCATGTCACGGGTTGTGGCCTTGACATAAGGAGCAGCCTTGTCGGTGTCCGGCTCATCGTTGATGACCTCGTTGCCGGAGAAGAAAGCAGCGACGTTGTCGTATCTTGCAAACATGTCAATGGTGGCAAAGACGCTCTGGAGGTACTTGGCATTGTACGACATGTGAGGATCGGCTCGGTTGATGGAATACTGGGGGTTGTTGACGTCCAGGACGAGGTAGATGCCGGCATCGTCCAAGGCCTGCATGCACTCATCATGGTTCTTGCTATTGTCGACAGCATAAACACGAATAGTGTTGACGCCGAGATCCTGGAATTTCTTGATGTCACGAAGGCAGGTATCGGAATCAGCCAGAGGGTCGATGTTTGCCGCGGCGCCGCCGGGCTGGTAGTCTATGCCTCGCATATACCAGCGTTCCTCGCCAGTCCAGAAAGCTATGAAAATTTTAGAACAGGATCGCGAGCACAGCACAATGTTGAATCTTACCGTTACCGGAAGCCGTGACGGTGGGCAGACTACCGGAACGCTTGGTAGGGGGCTGCTTCTCAGTGGGAGTAGGAGAGGCAGAGACGACGCCCAGAGCCGCGAGGGCTGAGACGAGTGTGAAGCCCTTCATGATGTGTATCCGTGGCCAGGTCGATTTGATCGAAATGAGTGCGTGGGCGTGATTTAATGGTGGCTTGTGGGTGAAGAGCGGGACTAAGATTCTCAAGAGAGTGAGAGAACCAAGGAGGAAGAGAATTCGGCGAGAAAGGTATTAGAAGAAGAAAGATCCAACGTTAGCGAGGGAGTTGAATCGCGGGTAGGAGCAGAGATGGCTGGAAGGAAAGAGTGAGTGAGACCTGGACGAGTTGAGAGAAAGCCAGGCGAGGACAATGGGGGAAGGAGAGACAATCGGAAAGTCCAGAGGAATGGATGCTGAAGTGGGAGTGGCGGTTAATAAGGGTCCACCAGTCCGCTTTCAAGACTCAAGCTGTCTATAGGTATATGTACTATCCTCCATCTACTCCATCGAATCATCATTACAGCTTAGCACAGCAGTGCGGGTGTGTAGGCGGGACTCTTTTAGTGAGGCACATCGCAATCAACAGTGGACAAAAAGGTGGGCGCGACTGCGCCAGGGGACTGGACTGAATGGAGTCAACGGAGTCAATGGACTCGGATATGGCACACGTATTGGAGAGATTCCACCGATCACCACCTTTTGTGAGGTTCCTCAATCGCATTTTGCGGTCCTCAGCCTCCTAACGGCCCAACAGGAGGCATGGGGAACGACAATGGTACATACGGTGTGGGGTGCATGCCCGGCGTGGGCGCATCAGTAGTAGCAGCCAGGCGTTGACTGGAGTTGACGCGAGGGAGGACTACATGTAAGGTACACGTAGAGGTGCCGTTACGAGGTTGGCAGCACCATCACCCACCCCCCTTCTCCTGGAATGCACTCGACGCTTTGTCGATGCCTTGCGTGTCTCTACTTCCGGTACACATTCTCAGCTCGCTTGTTACTTTGACAGGGCGACGCTCGAGTATGTATTACGTTGCTCAAGAGCAGTTTACCGGTAGTGAAGTGCTGCTCTCAATCGGGACTTACACGACCGACCTGGTCCTGCTTGGCGCTTCGGCTCACGGCAGCCTTGCCAGGATGATGGGTCGGCGCCGTAGTCGGTCCCCTGCAGCGTCGCAAACTCGCAAATCGCATCGCAATCCCATCCAATGAAATGAAGTCTGACGCGTTAATGACTGGCATTGTCTCTGTTCACACATGTGCAACAATTGTCCTCATCGGCTGCCTTGCAGTGAACGTGGTCTCTTCCCGCCAGAGTAAAAGACTTTCCCTTATTCACCACTAACGGCGCCAGAAATTGAGATTTCGTGGCGAAGCATGAAGACTGCGTCCACAAGACCCAGAAAATCACACTCCAAGTGCCGTGTCCCGGCGTGATGGTGCCGTGAGATCCGGCTGCACTAATCATGAGCGGTCTTCCTCGTATAATCGTCTGGAGCGCTTGTCGGGCCAAGCGATTTGGAGGCCTCAGCCTCGACCTATTTGTACCAGTGCAGCAACAAGCACGTAAGGACGGCGGCTGAGCAGACACACTCCACGACACGGAGAGTTGCAACGACGCCTGGACTCTTCGCGTCTCAAATCGCCCAATCGATTCCCCGTAGAGTATTTCTTTCTGTAATACAGCTATCTGCCTGCAAGCACTGACATGATGACCATGTCTGCTGTGGACTAGGGGTATCATTGCGAGTGTCGTCTCGTAGCTCATGCTCCCGTATCCATACAGTAGCCGATCTGGAGCGTCAGGGGATGATGATTTATGCCAGCCCCTGCCTCTGAACGCCCAGGGGCCTGGTTAGGATGGTTTATATGCCGGACTAGTGGACGATGGAGCTGGTCAACTTTCAAGCGTTCATGCCGTCATCCGAGCCGCTTCGAGACGTTCGATCAACGCTGTCGCTCCAATATGAAAACTCGAAACGCCCTTGATCGTCGGCGGTTCGAAATTGACACGCCTGAAAGGCTCAAAGCCGCCCCGCTGTCGTGTTTGAGGCCTCGCGCGTCGCTACACCACTGCTTGTGGGTAGACGGTAATTAATTAGTGCCACTGTCTGGTGAAATATGGCTCCCCGGTCGCCAAGGGCGGGAGAGCCAGGTTTCTAGCTGTCTCACTGTGACATTACCGAGATTCAAGATCGCCAAGGCTCCGACGGTCATCATTTCCACGTCAGGCCCAATCTTCGGAGTGTACGAGCAAAGTATCATGTGCACAACAGGATCGTCTGGTCCTTCGCTACGGAGTGGTCGCTCGCTTGGCTGATGGCTCGCTTGTCTACGCTACACGTTGAAAAGGTCCTGCACGCCGGTCCAGCTTCCCCGGGCTCGCTCCTCCCAGTACGAGTCCTTGCCGCTCTTGATCTTCCACAGCTCCTCGCCGTCAGGCGTGTTGTCTGCCCGCACAAACCATCTCGGCTGGTGTTCTTCGCCTCTGGCTTCCATTTCCTTGCGTCGTGTGCGCTGTGCCTCCTCGAGCTGCAGCTTGAGTGACTCGGCCTCGTCCAGATCGCCCTCTTCTGCGCGGCGCTGATCCGGTCGCAGCCTGCAGTCCGTCGGTGCCATGTGATCCTTTTCGATGCTGGTAATCTCATTCAAGCCGGCAGCGAATTCGGTCAAGCCGTACGTCTGCGGCGCGTTCCGCACGAGGGGGCCGACCTGCCAGATCTCGTCGCTAGCCGCCTTGCCTGGCCCTTGGGTTCGGAGACCTGAAGTCCATGTGCCGACCAACCCACTGCCGGTGTTGCTGCCGTCAGGGCTAAACGTCGTCACATTGACGTCCTCGATGCGGCCCCCAAACATACCCTTGCCCTTAAACTCCACGGTGGCCTTGTGCGCGGTAGAGTCGTTCACGACGTGCATCGTGCCGGTGGGCTCCACGTACTTCTCGCCCATGACCACGTTACGCAAGAACATTGTGCCAACATTCCACGAGTACAACTCGTCGTTGCCGTCGGGCAAGCGTAAGGCGACGCGCACCCGTCCCTCCATGGTAATTTCCGCACTCTTGCCCCAGAATTTGTTGCCCGGTGCTGGAGACTGGGCAAAGGACCAATTAGCAGAGTCGGCGTGCATGGCGAGTCGCAGTGGACGATGGGACACCTTCTCCACAAGCAATCGGAAACCACCAGGGACCTCGTGCTCGGTGCGCAGGAGTTCAAAGGTCTCACCGAGCAGCGGCGTAAAAGGCTTGCGGATAGCACGCTCCTTGACGCGACTGCTGCTGAACTGCGAGACGGCAAAGGCGGTAACGTAGAGCAGGCGCTCCGTGGGCGTCTTTTGCTTCACGGCTTGATCCAGCAGTTCTGCATACTCGAGCTGCTCGGCAACTTTTTGAAGCACCGAAATAGGTTCGTTCGCAGACACAGGCATGGTAATGGTGCTCAAGTCCTTGCCCACATTTTTGCGAACAAAGGCTATCAGGCTCGGTGGCATGACGGTGGCCTGAGGTATCGACGTCCGGCGTTGCAGGCGCTTCTCGATAGGCAGAGGGATGAGGCTCTTGGGCTTCGCAGGGTAGAGGCCTGCGTCGCCCATGGCAGTCATCTCATCACCTTCCCCAGACGACACCGACGAATGGTCATTCTCATCCTCGGCATCGGAGTCTTCGTCGTCCTCGCTATCTCGAACTTTAACGACACCTGATTTGGCATCTTCTGCGTCGAAGAATTCGTCGGCAGTGGACACCGTCTCGATACTCTTGCGCGAGGCACCGCCCGCAGACAAGGGGGCTTGCATGCGGCGACGCTTACTGTTGTTGATAAGGGTCGTGAATTCCAGGACAACAGAATCCAGGTCCGTCAGCAGAGCTTGGCAGTGGTCTTCAACGGACCTTTCCTCTTGCGCCTGTCCGTTTGATCCCTTGGCATTGCCCTTGGTCACTCGTGCGCCGTTCATGGGCGCATTGCCGCTCCCGGGAGAGGGCATCGCCATTGCTGGGCCTATAGCCTGTTGCGCTAGGGCCGACGTTGGGGTAGCAGCACTCGACTTCCGTCTCCAAAAGGGCCTCTTCTCCGGTTGGGTGAAGTAGCCATCACTTCGCTCATCTATGGCGCCCGAAGCGCTTGGCGACAAGAACTGGCCGGACGGCGGACACGCTGGGGCGGTTATGTCTTTGGTCAGCCGGCGCAAGGCGTCGCGGGTGCCAACCACGCGACTGACCAAGGTCTCAACCTGATGCCATTCGTTCTCCTCGTCCTGGCTTGTAGGTGCAGGCCCACGAGGCACGCGCGTATCGAGCTTCATCATGCTGGCTCTATTGTGGCGCTGCGGCATGGTCTCGATTCCCCGAGCGAGCCTGCTCGCCCTTTCCAGGGCCTTTGCCCACTCTTCAAACTCCTTGCTGTTGGGTGCCCGCAAATGCCAGACTTCTGCGCCCGAGTCGATGCTGATCTCCCGCCTGCGCTCGTCCGCCGCGACAGCCGCGAGGCTCAGGGGGATGGCGCCACGCAAAGCAGAAGAATTCCGATTGTAGTAGTACGATAGCGTGCACGTCGAGTAGTCGAGCGAGAAGAAGCGGCGGGCGTAGCCCTGGCCCTTCTTGCGGCGTCTCTTGGACAGAGTGCCAACGTGGTAATTTGTCGGTGCCGAACCCCCTTCACTTCGGCCTGAGACGGATTTTGGTCTACCTCCATGACTGTGAAGACTCTCCGAGGACTGGGAGGCGCCTCCTTCGAGGTTGGGGACGTATTTCGCGAGGCTCGTCTGGCTCTGCATCGAGTTCGGTAGCTGTAGATTCGGCAGATGGTTCACAGTCTGCGGTGGAGCGTCCGTTGGATAGGTGAGGACCACAAAGGTAGCCGTCTTTGAGGTCTGTTTTGAGAATGTGTTGTCGAAAACGAGCCCGTACATGCCGCCGTCCCCTACGCCGACGTCGTGCGTCCCCATGGACACCTTGTCCGCCTCACACTTGCCCAGCCACTTGACTGATATGAAGCCCTTCTTGGCCAGCAAGTCTTGCGCGGTCGAGTCGCGTTTCGGTATGCGGCTCGTCTTGCCTTCGGATTCGCCGTGGGTTCGAGACGCGCCATCTGGGACTTCGCCGACACTGGCAGCCGAGTGCAAAGCAGTGGCACCGTTGCCAGGATGCTTGACAATGCCAAAGTTGCTGGCGCCTTGGTCAGCTATATATGCGTTTCTGCAGGGCAGAGCGAGCCTACATTGACTTCTTATGAGGTTGGACACTCCATGACACCGTGTTGCCTTCGTCGACCTGCACCCAGCGCACGATATAGGACTAGTCCAGCAATTAGCGACTCAACGTAGCATGAGACCACCAGCTGCGCCCGACATACCCTGCTATGGACCTCGAGATGCTCGATGCCCGCCATAGTATGAGGTCAGGGTGGGTTGCGTGCGCGTAAAGGGCGGAATGGCAGCAGGAAAACTTGGGGGTGCTCGGGGTGTCGAAGCTGTGGCCAGTGGGCTGTTTATTAGGGCGTTTCCATGTCGACCCTGCTGGTCTGGAGTATCTTGGCGTGCAGATTGTAGGAGGATGAGACAGCCTAAAAGTACGGGAACGAGATCGTGTTGCAAGGCAGCCTGGCAGAGAGCCTCTCGATTTACCAAGAGGCTGGGCGCTGTTTGCCTTACGAACCCGAGCTACGTACGTCGTTGTTGGCATGAGGGGATGGCGCATGTTCTAGTCAGATTCGCACTGTATGCCAAGTCCACATCAGCACCCTTCCTGGTGCTGAAAGTTGGGTTAAATACAAGGTTGACACAGTGCGTGTTAAGCCGTCAGCATCAAGCTTCCAACCCCCTCCCTGTCCCTCCGCGCGGCATCAGGGACTCGCAATGCGCCACTTGTTATATTTAGACTCCTCTCTGCCTTTGCTCTCAGTTATGCTCCTTCCACAAGATGGCCCGATGGCCCGATGGGGTGCTCGTTGGCCTCCGTACCTTATACGCGCAAGTAGGGAAGCTGAACCTGTTTTCTTGTACTGTGCAGCAACTTCAGCCCCCCAAAATGTACGAGACGGGTGTCCTTTTAACTTCCTGCACGTCGCAAACGATTACTTCATATAGGTGGTGACGCCTCAGTTTCGACGCTACGGCCGAACTCACTGTGAACAGGTTACCTCGGGATGCCGAGCTTTGTGGTAGAAAAGATCACATGGTTCATATCGACAAGTCTCTGCTATCGCCTTACCCCTAGCTTGACCCTGATTCCAGTGTGAAGGTGTTGACCAGGTGTTGACCGTGATGGAATTGCATGCTGAATGCCATATCTCCTTCCACGAAGTATCGCGCCTTCAATTCAACCTCATTAATTTGCATCATATGGAGCCATATTCTCAGAAATATCTCAGCTTCGAAAATAGGCGCGCCGACCCTGATGGGGGAACTAGCAAAACATTGCCGGCACCGTGGCCGATGGCCCTACCCGATTCTTTCAAACGCATTCCGGGCTGTCCCTTCGAACTGCATTTCGGCCTTTGACTGCTCGGTGAGTATCAAGCTCGAATTGGGAAGCCGATCCAACATGTCTGCGGCACACTGAATGTCATGCTTGTCCAGCTTCTCGATCACCTCTTGGAGGCTCCCCTCCCCAGGTCTATTCTTCACAAAGCTGGCCTACCATTTCGGCAATACTGCCGGCGTCGGCACGTCTTGGGTGCTCGCGTAGGTTAGGGAAGGTTTTCGCAGGCCATCAGACCCTCCGGTGTTGTCCATGTGCAAGTAGCTGCCCCATCTCTTCCCACCGTTCCACAGCGTAACGCTCTTAAGTTTCAGCATGAGATACAATGCATCGGAGGCACCCGCGAGGATATTCGATCGGGCACTCGAGTTCTTCAAGCAGAACACGCCGCAGGTCATGGACAACGACTCCAAATTTGGAAAGCGCTCCGCTTTGTTCCTCGTGGCAGACCATATCCGTCGTGCTGCCCAGAAAAAGTCTTCCGGCTCTATCACAAAAGAGAGGCATACGCGACGAAGACGGCAGATTGTGAAGGTAATGTGCGTAGGGACTTGATAGCCCGATTGATAAGACACTGACACCATTGTCGCGTCGAGCTTCTTGATTGATCGGCTCACCGTGATCACAGAAGTTCTCCAGACCGCGGTCTACCATGAAGCTCAGATCCCACATGGCATGTGGTGTCGGGTAAGGGTCGATTGGGTGATGCCATCTCTTGTACCGTACTGTCCTAAGATTGGGCATATCTCCATCAGCGAGCTCTCGGAGGAAGCAAGATGCTATGCGGCGATAACAATGTCTCCGCACTTGCAGAGTAGAGATTACCTCTACACGTGGGAAGCGAGACCACTGATGAGGTACGCGCTGATGTGATTCGAAGAAGACAGGGTAGTTGCGCGCCGTTGGGCTAAGCAAGGTGGAGAGGACCCTACGTTTGGCGCCGGAAGGAAAGGCAAGCATCAGAAGTATCCCGGACCTTTTTCAGATGCTTCTTGTACACCTGCTTGGACTGAGGACCTTGCATTTGGCACGACTTTTCGAAGCGGTACTCTCGAAACCCATGCTGAGCGTCGCTTGGTGACCAGGCCCCGATCTCGAGACAAATTCCTCCTCGTCCCTCGATAGACCAGCTCGATAGCACAGCAAATAGAGCACGCATCCTTCTGAAGAGAATCTGGTCGTTGGTGAATGCAGTGCGCTCGTCCTCTTGCTCCATGCACTTGCTGCAGTCGTATGTCGGCAGCTTGGCGATGAAACTGATCTTCTGGACGTACAACTGCCGGTGTTTGCGGTCGCCAATCACATTTTGTATGTGAGGCAACTTGTGCTGATCGAGGTGAATGGTGTAAAAGCTCTCTGGTTCGAACCATCTTTGCCATTCCTTACAAGTGGTTACATAGTTGGCGATGTGTATTCGCTCGGATACGCGTAAGATGGAGAGAATCATTATTCGAAGCTCGTTAGGGAGGTCTTGCCAGCCGGTTCTTGTTCCATGCTGAGTCGATCCATGGCCACGATAGAGGCCTTGTTGGGCTTTCTTCTGGTTTCCACGAGGCATCATGGTAAGATGGCAGCGCTGGGCATATGTTCGACACAGTATCAGCTCTGTTTGGAGCAGCGAAAGGGAAGGCAAAAGTTCGTAGGGAATTCTACGAGGGGCTGCCGTTGTGCGAACCAAGTGCCCACGTTGGCTACACCATCTTGAACCCTAAACTGTCCGTCCCCAAGGTACTACACCCAAGATCAGGCATAATAGTGAGGGTAGCGGTGCAGATGCCCAACTCAAGAACCTTTCTTCAAGATGCAGCGCGGTAATCTGCTGTCTTTCATCACGGACGAGTACTGCTTGATGAGGGTATGTCACTGTATGTGGGAACCCTGAGCTCTGGCGGGCTCTTGCGACACCGCCCATCAAGCAAGAATTGGCGATGGTCGACTAGAGACATCTCACCCGCGGCAACTGATATTCCGATTGAACTGGCACAGAGGTATTGAGAGTGTCGACTCTTTCTCCGGTTGATGGTCGTAAGCGGAGTCAGGTACTTACAGAGTTGGAGCTGACTGACTCGGACTCGGAGGGTCAGGTATGGGCCAGCAGTCCACAGTCCAGTCACGGTTGCTCGAATGTGGGGTACATGCATTCATTCATGTACGGATACCTACCCATCTTGTTAGCCCTGCTGGTGGGATTTATGTGCACGTGCTAACAGGAGGCTCTGATTTAGCACGTCGTCCCGTTTTCGATAGCGGACGGCGTCTGCGTCAAGGAAATGATTTCTGCCAAGTGGCGACAGTAGGGGCCCAGTGCGTCCTGCACTTCCACTTTCATCTAGGTCTACTGATAATGAGCAGAATCAATTTATTGAGAGCTGATTGCCTGGCCACTGCAATTGGCTGACTTCTCCACTGAACCTGCGCGTGGGCTGGGCCAGACAGGTGCACCCGCATTCTTCCAGAACATCCAACCCAACTCGGTCCCCTTTTCTAACAACTGCCAACGCCAACGTTGGCCGCCCTCGACTCGCTCATCCGCCGTGTTCGCTGACGACCTTTTTTCTTGCTTCTTCACGTCTTTCGCTCCTTATAGCATTGCGACTGCATCTGTGACGAAAGCATAAGCGAGTCTGTTTGTATTGCATCATCCAAGAGTCTAACGTCGGCTCTCGCTCGCACCCATTTTCGTTCCTATTTTCCCAGGGCCTTGAAAACCCGCGCCGCAATCAGGGGCAACAAATCACACGAGCCCATTCACGAAGTTGTCACACCCATTTCTCAGGCCCGCGCGCTGCTGGTCGCGGCAGATAACCGAGGTCCTTTGCTCGCCGTGTAACGATACTGATCCGACCCGATCGAGCGCGCTTTGCCAGCGCATCACGATACGACATGTCTACAGCTCTGAGCAAGCGTCAGCAGGCGCGCAACGAGAAGACATTGAAGGAGCTAGTGCAGAATGTAGCTGGAAACAATATTTGCGCTGACTGTCACGCCCGCAACCCTGGTACGGAGAGTTCCAGGATCCTACACGTGGTAATGACTTGAGAGGCTGACTTGCTGCCTACTGCAGCTTGGGCATCTTGGAGTTTAGGAGTGTTCCTCTGCATGCGATGTGCGGCTATCCATCGCAAGCTAGGGACGCACATTTCAAAAGTCAAGTCATTGAGCATGGACAGCTGGTCAAACGAGCAGGTCGACGTAAGCACAACGCGCCAGGATAATGCGTGTGGTCACTGACTTGGGGCACAGAACATGCGCAAGGTCGGCAACGTGGTTTCGAACCAGATCTACAATCCCGAACGGAAGAAGCCACCTGTTTCAGTCGACGTGGACGAGGCCGACTCAGCAATGGAGCGCTTCATCCGAGCAAAGTACATGAACAACAATGCCGGGACAAGCCAGGGTGGGAAACACACGAGGCCACTCTCCGATGAATGCGTACCGCCCCCTCTACCGCCAAAGAACTCCTCCAAGTTCAGCCTCCGCTCGGCTGCGTCCATCTTCCCGTCGCGACTACGAAAGGACCCCACATCCTCACCCACGGTCGACAACAGACCATCCTCGCATGGCTCGGCAGACAAGGTGACGCGTGTATTTGGCGCTTCCGTCAACTACGATGACGGCGACGACACGGAGAGGAAGTTGGCAAAGATGCGCGACATGGGGTTCAACGACGCGCAACGCAACGCCATCGTGCTCAAGGGGGTGAATGGCAACCTGGAGCGCGCAATCGAGTCCATGGTGCGACTTGGCGGAGGCGGTCGTCAATCGCCTGGCCCGGTGCCGCCTCCGCACGATGGCACTTTGCGCACATCCAAGTCCATGACACCCTTGGGCGGAGGTGTTGGCCTATCTCTTAATGGTCGGAATGGCAGCACCTCACCAGGGGCACAGTCGAACAACCCCTTTGATGCCATGTCTCTACCAGCACCACTTCAAACGGCACAATCTACCGGCAATCTGCAAAACAACAACCCGTACCAGCAGTCTTATCAACAGTCATTAAACCCTTCCCAGGCGCCACAGCAGCAGACGGACCATTTCGCGCAAGCCTTTCAACAGCTTGACATCTCATCAGCCCAGCAGCCGCAGCCTCTGTTTCCCAACAGGACAGGTGGGCTAACACCCTCGGCCGTGAACCCTCCTCAGTTTCCACCACATATGGCCCCCTCAGCCCCGGCAAGCCCTCACGTATATCAACAGATGGGCTTCCAGACCGGGTCCTACTCTCAACACGCGCCTTTGCAGCAGCAAGCGACAGGATACAATCCATTTCTGAACTACACACCGAACAGTGCTCAGACATACCAGTCGCAGTACCAGTATCCTCCGGCACATAACCAATACTTCAACACTGGAAGTGTGCCACAGCAGCATCAGTACCAGCAACAGCAGCAGCAACAGTTATTACAAGAACAACATACCCCCACAAACAATCCTTTCGCGGCCCGTTCGCCTACGAGAGTGGCTTCCCCAACTGGTCTGGGTCAGATCCCCGAACAGACACAGACATCCTACCAGAGTGCAGGTTACCAGAGTCCAGCTGCCATGGCACCTCAAGCGGGGGCAAACAATCCATTTTTCACGAAGCCTGCAGAGACGCCAACCCAGATGTACGGCCAACAAGGGTACTATCAGCCGCCCAGGCAAGATAAAGCGTCCATCATGGCGCTCTACGGACTTGGCGGGCCCCAACAGTCAGTGTCCACAGATACCACGCACTCGGCACCCGTTCAGTCGCAATCGATCCCTGAGGACAGTCCTGTGCCACAGCAACAACACCAAGAACCACTTCCTCAGGTAGCGCCACAGAGGAGCGCGACCCAGCCTCTTCCGCAGACTACCAACAACAACCCATTCATGCCCAAGCCGGCGGCAGCAGCAGCAGCTGCGCCCGGCGACCCATTTTCGTCGCAGCGACACATTAGTCGTGAAAGCGTGAATCTGGGCATGGACATGGCTTGGACAAATGGGCGGCACAGTCCAGACGCATTCGCAAGCTTAAGCGCGCGCCACGGTTGACAGAAATGACAATGACATGGAAATTTGCATCACGTATATATTGCCAGGTATATATATATATGTACACAGGGTCAACTTGACGCCTTGAATGGAAGTCTTTGAACATGACCGAGGGAGCTATCCTATCCCTCTTTGTATACGCAAATTTTAACCCAGGCTCCTCACCTGAAGTCGGGGGAGTACAAACATTGCCTGTTAAAATGAATCTCATCTTGCAGTACGTACTACGTACCTTTCGTGCCATGCTGCTTTCGTCCAACGCGAGCGGGACACTACGTAATTCGCTTGTTCAGCCTTGCAACTCTTCACTCAGTCTACCAGGGAAGAGCGCGACGTACTCACGAGCTTTGCGGCGCTCTGAGTACTAGTGGGTATGGTAATGAATATCGGACAGCCAGCCTATCACTGATTAGAGCGCTATTCAAGTAGCACGGATGACTGTGAGGCCAGATGTAGAGGCTAGTCTTCCCCGCATGGGTAACGCAAGCCATCCCGTCCGACACACATGACTAGCGATTCATACTGATGTAGTATCTCATCGATATAGTAGAGATCATCCCGAGATGTGCCATAATTTACATGTTTAGAGTACACGCGAGGCGTACGAACCAGAGTGGATGGTCATAGCGCTCAAATGCAGTGATGATATGGCATTGTGGTAATGTACCATGCTAGCGGCCCTGCACAATCCGTTCTACCCATCAATTCCGGACCTAGACTTCAGCTTATCATCACCTTTGCCGCCAACACGTTCGCCATAGGCATTGTGCCCTTTACGACGCCAATGACGTTCTCAGAGCCACGGCAGCCGTCTGTGAACTTCCACGATATCTCAATATTGCCACAGCCCAGATCAATCTTCGCAAGCGCCAACGCGACTCTTAACGACGAGGGCCCGCGTTGGGTCCCCGAACTTGAGTATCTCCTCGTCTTGGTTCACGTCGCCAGCCCTACCTTACCTTGCGATTTGAATCTATCAGCATGGATACCGCCATGTACGAGGAAAGTGCGAGCCCGTCACCCCTGACCAAACCAAAGACCCGTTCCCTATCCGACAGCAACAGCACACCGAGCAAACTATCCCCATCGCCCTTTATCATCGAAGCATCCCACCGCGCCTCGAGGGACGATAGCAGTATTCCCCCGGCCAGCAATGCTCAGCCCGTGACGCCGCGCCGGCCTCAAGCGACTGCCAATAGCGCCTTTGCTCTTCACATGCCATTGTCGCGTCAAGCAACGCCTCCGGTCGCATCGACAAGCCAACGACAACAAGAACAACGAGAGCAGGCGCCGCCTGCAGTCACCGGGCTCGGTTCAGTCAAACCTGTGCCCCTGTCGCCAAAGCTTGACCAGGCGCATACGTTTGCTTCGCCGACAAATATTCTACCCAGAAGATCCAGAGGCCTGGACTTCTCCCGCGCCGCGACAAGCTTGCACCACTCCACACTGGCGGAGCAGTCATCTCCGGACTCTTCCCCTACGATGGGGGGCAAGTCGATGGCTATCCCAGGCCGACGGGACAACTTCTCCAGAGGACCGGAGCAGACGTCTACATCCCTCTGGTCGATGATGGGGAACCAAGAAAAGACCAACCTCAGCCATTCCCTGGGCAGCACACGGGCCATGTGCTCGGATCTATCGAGCTCGTCCGACGATGACGATATCATGGATGAGGATACAGACGAGGCATACGTGTCAACGCCTCAAGTATCCAAGACAGCGGCGCCGACCGGTAGTTTTGGATCGCCGGCGATGGGGAGCCTGATGAGCTTCCAGCAGCGGCAACAACGGGGCAGGAAACCAATCAAGAAGAAGGGCAGAGGTACAGCAGGGCTGGGGTTCAACCATCAGGGTGGGGGATCTCCACCGCCTCACGCATCTGCCGCCAGAAGGGAGAGCATTAGCTGGCAGGCAAAACAGCTTCATATCTCGGGAATGGATGCCGATGAGCACGGCAAATCTATTGATGCGGATGGCTCGGGCGATGGGCAAAGGAGTGTTGTACGTCGGCCCGTCACCCGACGAGGCAACTTGCTGCCCAAGACGAAGACCTTTGCCCGGATCAGAGCAGCGCTTTTCGAAGAAAATGCGCCCGCGGAAACAGAGACACGGCGTGAAGCCGAGGTCGTCAAGCAAGTGCGTGAGAGCGATGTACCCGACCTCGAGCCTCGGCGAACCCCCATACAACAGCAGCCACTGCCTGAAGTGCCGCCTCCAGGAGGTCATGCTCCGGTATCAGCTCTCTCGTCGCCCGCTCAAGAAACTCTGGATGACATTCCCGAGGGTGACCTAATGGGCGATCTTGCGGCCGGGCTGTCCAGCAGCTTCAAGCAGCATGCCATGCGCAACTCGAAGGGCAAACACTTCTGGGAGGCATTTTCGGAGACAAGCAGCGTCGCGGGCCAAAGGACCCCGCCACCAACCAACAGCGGCCTACCTCGTGGCTCATCGTCCGGCATCAGTGAGGATGTGTCCATGGACTCGCCTTCGGGCGGAGGCCCTCTACAGTGGCTTGCCACGCAGCGGCGCTCCGACTCGGAACGATCCGACAGCGCACAAACCACATATCCGGGTCAGCCGCCTACTGCGACCGAGATCACACGTCGCATCAACAGCAAGCGTCGTCGCGATGACGACTTTGATCCCGTGAGCCTCAAGCGCCGTGCTGTTAGCCCGGGCCTGAGCGTACATAACTCACCACTGCCTCAGAGTCCGATGCAACGCGATGTTGCACCTTGGGGCTCACGGCCAGGCAGTAACGGCGGTGAAAAGGCCGGGAGTCAGAGCGCGCCCAGCGACTCGGGAAGCACACCAGGTGTTCAGCAGCAGAATGCTACAGGAAGCAATAGTGCCGGGAGTCGTGTCAATGGGAAGGGCAGGATCGGGTTTCAGGGCATGACGGATACGCATGACGGTCTCATGCGGATGAGCATAGAATAGGCGTTTCTGGAATTTTTTGCGAGCATTTCAAGGGCGTTCTGTCGCGGACTGGGACTTTTTTTTTTAACCATTGCTCTTAAGATGGATGAGCAACGGACGGAGCAACGCTAGCATTATGGCCCCAAATGAGCGAGAAATCATTACTTGCCGAATACAATCTTTCTTTTATGTATATACCTGAAGGAACGCTCAGCCCCGTGATGCATCTTGGTATCAATCCCAACGCCGTGAAAACATGATCGACCTTCTTTCACACAAAGACTTGGTCTATTCGCCGCCAACGCCCTCATCCGGTACTGTCAACGTGCCCAATTTGTCATCCAGCCACTTTGCCAACTCGATCGCGTGTCTCCTTATAATGGCATCGGCAACAGAGGCACTCGCACCGACGGCGCTGCTCAGGTGACTCCCCGCATCGCTGGGGCTCGTCGAGACGGTCGGTGGTGGGACTGTCAGAGAAGTCGATGCCTCGCCGGGGTCGAGTTGGGCTTGCACGGTCGCATCCTCGGCTGACGAGGACGACGACTCGGTTGGTATCCCGATGCAGACGAACAGCAGCCCACAGTTGAGCCTCCGTATCAACACGACGCCCGTGTCGGTCTGTACAGTGACGGTCTGCGGCTTGGTGATCTCCTTGGCCGACACTTCCTCTGCATCCTCCTCGTCCTCCTCTTCAGAGCTCTCCTCTAGCGAGAGATTTGACGCGTGGATCGAAAGTAGCGACGCCGCGACGGTAGCGTGCGTGCGCAGGACGGAGACGGGGTGGGGTGACGCGTGGGCGAGGAGCTTGCCTGTCGGTGAGGTGATGAGCAGGCTGGGGAGGGAGGGGGATGTGTTGGCGGAGAGGAAGGCCGTTAGGCGTTTTGTGAGGAGAAGGGGCGGCGTCGAGGAGGCCATAGCTGGAGATAACACGTCGCGGTGTCTTTGAGGTGGTGTATGTGGTCCAATGGAGGGCGGGTTGGTGGTAGACAACCGCCTTGACTGTCACGGAACTAACGAGACTGTATTGAGATAGATGTGAGCTTGGGGTCCGCCCGCCAGCGTCATGGCGCGGGGAGCGATAAGATAAGGCAGCCACATCCCGATTCCCAACCGCGCGTCAGCCTGCAACTGCCAAACACCCACACGACGACCAGGGCGCCATCTGATTGTCATTGCAGCAAGACGCCTGATCCATCATCTTTACGCTCGACGCCTCTTTTATTGTCACAATGCCAAATAACCAATTTATTCCTAATTTACATATATGGTTCTTCTGACGTTTCGGCTCCGTGCAGGATGGTCAGGACCTGCCCTGGAGGGCTATTTGCCGTGCGCCAGATGTGCAAGGGTTGTTATCAACAGTGGCTCTGGATCAATGCGAGACCATGCCAGCCTGCCATAGCCCAGTAGCACAACATACGTGGCGCGAAAGCACACTGCAACGACATGCGGCTTGATTGATGGCAGCGAGCTATTGAACGCCGGCCGTTGGATTACTCCAGGTGTTTCACGTCATTGCGGCTGCATCTAGGGTTCACGTCGAGTGATGATTGTACAACCTCCAGGCCCAATGGCGGCTGAGGGTGTCCTCGATTGCCTGACCAAGCGCTAATTAACCTGGGGTGCCACAAGGCCAAGAGAACAGTCCTCAAGGCGATACGCGCGACGAGCTTGGCAAATAATTCGCACTTTCGAGGAAGTGCAATCTGCGCTGAGCACATAACAGACTGGGAATCCTGAGACCGGTGAAGGGAGCCGCGCGAGACTTGTTGTTGCAACTGCGACTTGCAAGCCTCTGGCTGCTGTATACTCTGCTTCGCAAGGTGCTCGCTCACTCAGGCGTTACAACTTACAAGATGCTGCGCACCAATCGGCAGGCTGAGACAATCAGAGGATCAGCGTGCACCAGTAGCAACGAGCCTCCCACGGCCAGTCATGTCGTTCCTGCGTTTGCAAGGCACCACCCCAGTCCTTGGACAACTTGACGTGCCTGGCTTCTTCTTGTCGCTCCACCTTGGGTTGAGTGGTGTCGAAGCATCAACCCAAGACATTTTGAATGAGCCACACCCCGTGAAGATATACTACAATTTGTAGTTACGGAGTACATGCTCGCAGGGCAGGCTGGACTTGGGAGGTGGACCCGGTTCACGACGATCCATTTCTGCGGAGGGCGCCTACCCCTGGGTTCCCTCAGATTAGCTGGGGCGTCCAATCAGAGCGGTCTGTGAGACGCGGCCCCCCTTATCTCAGTGTGGCCCGCATCCTACCCGCGACGTCGCACGCCTGGTCGACCTCCTCTTGCTTCCATTCCAGTTCTGTCTGTTGTGCTGATTGAGCTCGTCTCAATCAATCATTTTGCTCTGGGTCGCCGGGGCCGCGACATTCACTCATTCATCGTTTCGTTTCAACTACCAGCCACTACGGCATATTATTCTCGACTTGTCTTTCCTTTACAATACTTCAAGCTCCAGCTGCCGCCGATGGATGTGCCGTTCCCTACAGGCTGATACACGCACGACTGAAGCCCCGAACCCTTTGGTACAATTGTCTGCAAACAACACAGGCGTCGCTCGTTGGACAATTGTGTCGTTGGTTGCCGACGCGTATTCGTCAAATCCAAGGGCCGACTTAACTCAACATTCAGTATCACTTGACCGTCTGGTGACTTGGGGGACTCTCGAAACCAGCAATCGACACTCTTTTGCCACCGCGGAATTGAACAATAGCATTTCTATTCACTTCGCTTCAGCATTAGGAGACGGGACCGAACAGTTTCAAGGCGATTGACAGTCCACCTGAATCGTCGAAGTCGCGCTCGAAGTCGCGCCGTTGAAAGGGCGAAGCGCAGCACCGTCTACTCGCAGGCGAGAAAGACTGGTGCTCACGGCAGGTCCGATCGCTAAGCTCACTTATAATAATCGCACACCCACGCCGCTACATATTGGACACATCTCGGCATATCTCTCTTTTCTTCATCAATTGTTGCAATGGGTCTCTTTAAGCACAGCAAGAAGGAGACGTCGGGGGAGTTCACGGATCAGAAATGGGAGTACATCAGTTTGAACGACTTCAAAGCGCGAGGATGCGGACCAGGTTTTGCCTACTTCTGGTTGTGGGTGATGCTTGTCTCTTCCATTGTTGTCTATGGGCTTGACAGCTTCATCGCCGTCAACTTACTCATCTTTGACCAATGGTCAGGGTCAATCAAGCCGGGTATCGACCTTTCTATCTCGAAATGGATCTTTACGGTTTGTATCCTCCTCTCATTCGTCAACCTAGGCTATGAGGCATGGCGCGCGATGCGCGTCATGAAGCGTGGCAATGTGGCCGAATGCTACCTCGACCCGTTGGCTGTGCGTTGGGAATCGATTCGTATGGGAGAGGGCCAGGGCTTCAAACGGTTTCTGGTCTTTGCGGAGCTCACAAAATCCAAGCAGGGTGCTGAGTACACGGCCTTGTTTACATATTTCAGTCTAAAAGGTTGGTCATCCTTTGTGTCTCCAGCAGTCTGTCATGCCAGTCAGCGCTAACAACAAATGTCCAGCTTGGATCCGCGTGCTGCTGCTCTCTGGCCCCCGCCAGGTTGTCAACGCTTTCACCTTCAAAGCTGTCTACGAGAGTAAGCTAGCTGTCAGTCCGGGCAATGCCGGCGAATCCTTCATCGGTTTCTTCGAGAAGATCGGCGCCTTGTACGAAGAAGACTACCAGCAGGCCCTCGTATTGACGGCCATGGGCTGGACATTCATTCTCTGGGCCATCTCGGTCATCTTCTTCATTGCGGCTGTGCTGTGCTATGTTTTCTTCCTGTGGCACTGGATTCCCCGCTCAGATGGTGGTCTCTCCGGCTACTGTGCGCGCAAGGTCAACAAGAAGCTCAAGCAGATTGTGACCCAGAAAGTCAACAAGGCGCTGGCAAAGGGCCAGCACCGACAATTCCAAGCTGAGCTCAAGGCCGCTAAGGACGGCGGGCAGGTGGCGCCTCTCGAACGCATGGGCACGCTCCCGACGCTGCCCAACATTGTCGCAGCCGGACCCTCGCCGTCCAAGGAGGACTCGCTGCCACAGATGCCCATGCTCAGCCGCACCGAGACGACAACGACTTTACCAGCGTACTCTTCCCGGCCCGCCAGTCCAGGAGGCATCGAGCTGAACAGCATGGCCCAGCAACGGAGATTCATGCCATCGCGCTCAGCAACAATGGCTTCCACGACCACTGATTACAGTTACACATCGAAAGCGTCTCTCCTCGGTTCCGCTGCCGACATGGGACAAGGCCGAGCGCCATCTCCCACGCCAACCGTACCTTCGCTGCCTGCGGTCACTCCTCCGGGCAACATCTTTCCACCTTCCAACCCAGGTACCCCGGCGTCAGCGAGGACCTTTGGCGCGTATGCTGGCATGGGTCATGCTGCCACCAATTCGACCTCGTCAGCGCGTACACCGGCGGCCGAAAGCCCTGCACCCATGTACGGCCGCGATGAGCACATGCGGGCTAGCCCGGGGCCAAACCTGTACAATGCATACAATCCGAACCGAGGTGGTCCAGCGCCACCACAGGCACAGCAGAGGCCCGGCCCTGGCTCAAGGTTCGACCCGTACAACGCAGATGGCCGTGCAAGTCCCGCGCCCTCCGTCAGCACCTACCATGGAGGCCCGCCTGTTGCGCAACGACAACAGCCCATGCCCATGAGAAGCGCCACAGGGCCGGTGCCCCCACGGGGACCCTTCCAACCTCCACAGAGAAACATGACCGCTCCAATGGACCTGTCCAGGGACTACTTCAATCGACCGGGAGCACAGCAGGGCATGAGGCCAGCGACTCCTCAAGGATATGGTCGCTCTGCAACGCCACAAAGCCAACGCGGCCCGTCGAATGGGTACGACGTGGAGTCTCAGCAGAATCGCGGGTATGGGTACTAACGCATCACGACAAGCGATGGAATATAGGTTTGACATTCTGGAGCTTTCTGACGTGGTCACTGTTTTCGAGTCACCTCAAGGGGGATAGAGGCGTTCCGGCTGGGTAAATGATCACGACCGATCTTTGATTCATCTTCTTTTCAGCCACGTGGGAGGCTCTCTGTGGAGAAGTAGATACATATCTTTACTGTAGATACACGATGTTATCGAATGATATTTCATTGAAGTCCACCCAATCGTCAATTGACAGTCCAAGCAAGGCGCAGCAAAGAATGAACTGGACTGCCCTGACATCCGACTGGGGTCACCTGATCAGCAAACTTTTGTCAATATGCACGTTGTGGTTCTACTGCCCAATTCCACCAGCCAAACGCCGCATGTCTCACCCAAGTGCTGCAGACTGATGGCACGGCGGAGGGGCCAGGCTTCTCTGACGCAAGCATGTATGGTGCGCATGTGGTACTAACGCCCACGAGTCCAGGGTCTGGTACGAAATGGCACAAACTAACGCAAGCCGCCCCTGTGCAGTGCGTAGGTGGGTTTTCATGAAAGCTGCACGAGGCATTTTGCATCCTGGCCTAGTGGTCTTGGAAGCATAGCTGCATGTCGCCCCCCGAGGACCGGACTACGAAGATCGCGTCATTGCGGGAGAAACGTGCTGGCCGAATGAGACCTGCTGTGCGCGATCGGCATAGGCATCTTGAGGACAGAGAGACTGGACTTGTCCTCAATTGACTGCTTGCAGTGAGATTAATATAAAAAAAAACAAGGACACATAGAAAACAGAAAATGGAGTTTTGTTGAGGACGTTCACTTGTCTCAGCAGCGTGTCAGTAGTGATAAAAGACATGGACACTGCTACGCATTGAGGGCCCCGGCTTTTGCAGCGATCGACTTGTCTTTACCCGTGGGCAGTAAACCGACCCTCTGTTCTACTACTTTACTGCCTTTGCAGCAGCACTTACCTGCACAGCCACTGAAGAACTCGCCGGCCTGGAGGCTGGCACTGGGTCCCTGTAGGCAAGCCAGTCTGGAACAGCGCCAAAGTCAATCAATCTTGTTGCCCCTTCCGAGGTCTCCTTCAATTCTCCTCTTTCCAAACTGTTGGCCTCATCTTTTCAACCGGGCAATTGACTCCATTTTGGGCTACAAGTACGCTCTGCACTATTACGACGACCACCGCTGACAGCGTGCGCGGACAACCGTTTCCGACGACGTCAACTCGACAGCTCCGACTCGACTCAATTACCCCTCCATCCCCTGCCTGTCTGTCCCTCCTCCGCCAACATCCTGCTGCCGCTGTCAGTACGCACGCAACCATTGGCAACATTAGAGGTCCTTCGAGCCGGCCGAAACTCCGAACCGCTGCCGCCGCCGCCGACGCTGCCATCAGTCATCGACATCAGGAACCGACCTCGTGACGACGACTTTGCTGCGTCTCTACCCGTTCCTAGTCGTACGCATTCCTCTTCTCAATCAACTGCGACTGCGACGACGACAGCAGCCACGATGGCTGCCGACTACGAATATGTCAAGCGGATGACCCCCGAGGGCTACACATTTCCCACGCACCGACTCAAGCGCACATGCGAGGCCGGTCGGACCCCCCTCGTCCTCGTCGCGTGCGGCTCCTGTACGACACCCGAATACCATTACGACCCCTATTGAAGACGGCCTGTTCTGACGAATGTTTCTAGTTTCGCCTATCACGTACCTCCATTTGCGCATGTTTCCCATGGCTCGCGACCACGCCCGCAATGAAGGTTCGTCCACACAACACATCCCACACCCACCTACCCTGTATCTTCGGCCCGGCTGACAAGAGTACGGCTAGCAGGCTTCGACGTGATCGGTGGATATCTCTCAGTCGTGTCTGACGCTTACAAAAAGAAGGGCCTCGCGCCCGCTCACCACCGCATTCGCATGTGCGAGCTGGGTACGGAGCACGGCTCGAAATGGCTCATGGTTGATCCGTGGGAGGGCGAGTCGCCCACCTACATCCCGACCGCGCACGTTCTTGATCACTTTGACTACGAGATCAACCAAGTGATGGGCGGCGTAGAGTGCGAGGACGGCACGCGCAAGAAGGCCAAGGTTGTGCTCCTCGCGGGCGCAGACCTGATCCAGACTCTCAGCACCCCCGATCTCTGGGCTCCCAAGGACATCGACCACATCCTGGGCACATACGGCGTGTTCGTGCTGGAGCGCACCGGCACAGAGCTGGACTCGGCGCTGGCGAGCCTGCGAGCATACGAGAAGAACATCCACGTCATTCGCCAGGTGGTGACGAATGACATCAGCAGCACCAAAGTGCGACTACTGCTGAAGCGAGACATGAGCATAGACTATTTGTGAGTGTCCGCTTGTCTGCGGTCCTCGACATGTCACCGGCTAACACTGTGTCCCAGGATCCCCGACGAGATCGTGAGCTACATCTACGAGCACAATTTATACCGGGATCTTGAGCAATCCAATGACGGCGACAAGGGCAAACCAAAACAAGAGGCGGTCGCCAGCTCAAGCAAGGGCTGAGTCGTCACATCCAGACATACCTGGGGGAAGATTTACAACACACTGGCATCAACTGCTGCCAAATACAAACGCGACATGAAAACTGGTGCGCTCACGCGCACAGGAGCAGCGTTCACTTTGCTCCCCAGTCGGCTAAAACCTAGGAGGCTTTTGTTTTGATCCTCACATCAGCTTTATCACCTGCACAGCTGGCACTGGAATTTCTTTCGTGTCTTGGAGCTATCTGGCGTTTTTGCATTGCATTTCTGGGGCCGGCGGCCATTCGAGATGGGCGACGGGTATCATCAGCCATGGACGAGTACGTACATGCGATAATGGACTGGTAGAGAGCGCATACAGAGTGGGTGCGAGGCGAGCCTGGCCTTGGCCATGTCGGAGCCGAAACAGGTCAATGGCTTGATGACTGTCAGCAGGAGGGGGAGAGGACATGTACTAGCGAGACACTACCTGTACCACTCAGAGCGTTAGATGATGGGTAGCGTTGCATGGAAGACAAACGAGCGTTGACTCGTGCGAGTAGAGAGTAGGGCTCTTAGAGAAGGAAAGATTCCCGAGCGTATGCAGTGGTCAATAGCAGAGAGTTTATGGGAACTTATGCAGTGAGCGCGCATACTTCTAGCCATTACCCTCTACGATGCAGCCGCGCCTCGAGTTGTTGTTGGTGGGTGAGGCTTGGCGATGGAATGCGGTCTACGGATAAGCACGTGCCGTTCCTGGCCACGTGTTTGGATCAGCATTTAGCGAAGAAAAATAATGATAGCGATTGAGTAATAAATAAGTCCATTCTCCTTGACCTGCCTCTGCTACACGTTCTGGAGTGTATTATATCCGTCCTTTCTGACCCACGTGCTTGCGTGCCTCGGGTGCAGGGTAATCTGGTAAACAGACGCTGGCGGTGACAGAGTGATGAGCACCAGACTGGGAGCCTCACGGCGACCTCCGACGAAGCGCTCATCACCTATCTAGCCAAGACGCACCCAGAGGCTCAGAAGGTCCTGCACGCACGTGAAGCATGGATGGCTGGCCCCTTATTCATCTGCCCTCTGCGGGCATCTGGCCAATCGGCGGGGCGAATTGGGCGCATCTTGGGGACCTTCCACCAACGGCTAGTCGCCGAGCGCCCAGAGATCCAGCTAGCATCGACGTCGAGCCAACTGCGTCTCGCTGCTCCATCAACGTGGTCAACATGTATCGACAAGGGCAGGCAGTCAGGACACTCAGCGGGGACCCTTCGAGTTGCATGACCGTCCTCGTACGGAGTACAAGGCAGAATGATTTCACATGGTCGATAAAAAGGACCTGGGAGCCCGCCCCCTGTTGCCTGACTCTTTGAGCTCCAAGGTCACCCTCCCGGTCCCTCATCGCAATGTCTGTCTCCAAGGTTGTCGCGACACTCGCTGCAGCGGTCGGCGCTGCGTCTGCCGTCTCCATTGCCGAGATCAATGGCAAGACCTTCCTCTCGCCTCTCCAAGGCGAGTCCGTCACGGACGTCGAGGGCCTCGTCACGGCCATCAACCAGAATGGCATCTTCTTGCGGTCCACGGACCCTGACGACGACCCGGCCACCTCGGAGGGCCTCTTCGTCTATGGTAGCACTGTAAAGCCCCTGGTTGCCGTTGGCGACATTATCACGCTGGATGGCACGGTCTCAGAGTACAGGTATGTGGCCAGCTGCAGCTGGGAGCTACCCGATCAACGGCCGCTGACAAGCGCAGGAGCAACAACCTGCACCCTTACCTGACCCAGCTTCAGTCACCCACCAACGTCCAGGTGCAGTCGTCCGACAATGAGGTCAAGCCCTGGGTCATCGGTGTCGATACCCCTTCCCCTCCCACCGAGAAGTTCTCCTCGCTGGACGAGGGCGATGTCTTTGGCGTCCCCAACGACGTCGCCCGCCTCTCGACCGCCAACCCCGAGCTCGACATTGAGACGTACGGGCTCGACTTTTGGGAGAGTCTTGTCGGTCAGCTCGTGACCATCAAGGACGCCTACCAGATCGGCCGCCCCAACCAGTATGGCGATGTCTGGGTCCGTGGTGACTGGAATGTCACCGGCCTCAACGACCACGGCGGTCTGACTGTCCTCGACGGCCCTGATGCCAACCCAGAGGCCATCATCATCGGCAGCCCCACAGACGGCTCCCGTAACCCGGACGACACCAAGATGGGCGACTACCTCGGCGACATCACCGGTCTCGTCTACCAGGCCTTTGGGTTCTACCGCATCCTCCCCCTGACCGCAGTCGCCGCGGTCAACGAGTCCAGCACCGAGCACGAGGCCGTCTCCTTTGAGTCGGACAAGACCTGCCGCGGTCTGACCTTTGCCAACTACAATGCGCGCAACTTGGGCCCGGACTCGGAGCTCATGCCCGCCATCGCTGCACAGATTGTGGACAAGATGCTCACACCCGACGTCATCTTCCTCCAGGAGGTGCTCGACGGCTCCGGCGAGACGGACGACGGTGTTGTCAGTGGGAACCTCACCCTCGCCACGCTCTCTGCCGAGATTGAGAACCAGTCTGGCGTCGTCTACGACTTTATTGAGATCGCGCCCCTAGACAAGCAGGACGGCGGTGTGCCCGGTGGCAACATCCGCGTCGCCTACCTCTACCGCCCTGAGTCTGTCGAGCCCATGAACCTGAACCCCGGCGGCGTCGACGACGCCAACGAGGTCCTCGCGGGCCCCACGCTCAAGTTCAACCCAGGTCTCATCGATCCTACCAACGACGCCTGGAGCAACAGTCGCAAGCCCCTGGCCGCCCAGTGGAAGGCCGTCAAGGGCAACGGCAAGCCCTTCTTCACCGTCAACGTTCACTTTGGCTCCAAGGGAGGCTCTTCCACGCTCCACGGCGACGCCCGCCCGCCCATCAACAACGGTGTCGAGAAGCGCAACCAGCAGGCCACCATCACCGCCGAGTTCATCGCCGACATCCTCGCCGAGAACCCCGCGGCCGCCGTCATCATTGCTGGCGACTTCAACGAGTTTGTCCAGGTGCAGCCCATCCAGACCTTCCAGGAGGTCTCGGGCATGCTCGACCTCGAGGACGTTGTCGACATGGAGCCCGTCGAGAGGTACACATACCTCTTTGACGCCAACAGCCAGGCGCTCGACCACATGTTCATCAGCCCCTCGGTCGGCCGCAAGGCGCAGTATGAACACCTGCATCTCAACACGTGGCAGACCTACGACGACCAGGTCTCGGACCACGACCCCAGTGTCGCCAAGCTGAACGTCTGCGGTTGCGGCCCAGCTTGAGTAGGGACATGTATGTGTGATGACTGGAATGCATAGTAAATAAATGGGTGTCCAGCATGGCATACTGAATAGAATCGTCCCGGTTGCTTTCATCTGACAGCCTGTGCCGATGAGTTTAAAAGTAATTCCAATCAGAGGGGTATCACATATTCTGCTCATAGTCCATCATCGTCCTCCTCCTCTTCCAGGTTGCCATCCTCGTCGCTACCGCTACTATCGGCACCAGGGTCTGGCATGACAATGGTATTCAGAAACTCAACAAAGGGGGCGAGGCCTCTGATAACGTCCCCGATCTGTTCTTGCGCATTGTCTGCTAAGAGCATGGACTCGTCGATTTTCTTGCCCACTGTGAAGCTCTTCAGCCGGAGGAGCTTGATGTCCCGATGCGTGATCTCGTACCCCTGCGCAAAGTCAGTCGATCCCTCTCGTTGGAAAACACTGTTAGGAACTCTTTACCTGTGGCCTCTTCTTGAGCGCATACTCCTTATTCTTTTCAAAGAACGCATCAACCAGGGCATCTTCCTTGCCCTTGCCCGTCTTGATCTTGGGAAAGAAAACGTCCTTAAAGGTCGGGTTCTCCAGCACGCGCCGCCACCGAGCCGGTCTCGCATCGATGCTCCGCCGGAGTCGTGCGAGACTGTCCTTCTCCGGACACCACAGACCGCCCCCGATGAAGCTATGTTTGGGTTCGAGATGTATGTAGTAGCACGCATACGGCCCCTTGCGGCCCGTGCGCGACCACGCCGCAGAGAAATGTGGCTTGTAGGGCGTCGGGTCCTTGCTGAAGCGGATGTCGCGGTGGATGCGGAAGCTAACGTCCTTGACGGGCAGCTCTGGGATCGTCTCGTCAATGTCGATGATGGTCATGGTGATGGCCTCGACAAATGTGTTCCAGTCCTTTAGTGCGCGCCGGTATTCGCCGTCGTGTGCTGTGTGCGCCATCCCTGTCAGCACTTGATCGTGGCAAGTAGAGAAGGAGGAGAATGGACCACAAAGACATTACATTTCAGCCAAGCTCGCTTGTTGTTCGCTTTGAGATCCGAGAGAAAATGACACGTGTTCTTGTGGACCTTTTGATCATCGTATGCAACACCTCCCTCGTCGCGGAGCTGCTCGAGTGGGATGATTGTCACTTTCATGGGCGCATCCTCGTCGACCCCATTGTCGTCATCTTTTTCGTCCTGCTCCGCGTCATCGCCATCCGTCTCTTGGTATTCCTCGTCAGAGGCCTCCCCATCCTCCGCCGAATTGTCGTTCTCGTTTTCCTGGTAGTCCTCAGACGTCACGGTCTCCTGCTTGACGACCTTGGGAGGGTCCTTTTTCGACGGTCGTCCACGCTTGCTGGGCCGCTCAATTGCTGCCTCATGTTTCTCGGTATCGGTGTGATCTTCAAAGTAGTTGCTTTTATTGGGCGTGCTCGATAGGCGTCCCGAGCGACGGCGTGAGCTAGTTGCTGGCTCAGGAGCCGATCTTTTGGCCGCTGCCATGTCTGACAATGTAAGTTCTTTCCAGTCAACTGTCCAGCGGTAGTCTGGCGTCTTCCCAAATGAGCTGAGGTTATAAAAACAAGACAATGGTTCAATGGTTCAATGGTTCAAGGGGCAAAAATGTGTCATTGATGTCATCACCAAGGATCCTGTCGCGCTACAGCGCATCGTGCCTTGACGCGCTGTCACGTGCGTTCATTTACCGCGTCAATGTGGCGGTCCAGGTCAATTGCTGAGCATCACTCTGACACCAAGTTACCTTTGTAAGTAGTTCTGAAATTCTTTTGCCTATCTCGTCTTCCGTTCATATTCCTTGGTTTTCTTGATATGCAGTGCCAGAGCCACGCTCACTTCTCTGTATGTGCGGTCTCCATCTCCCCAGCAGCAGTCGCTTCATTCCTCCTCCAAAGCTTCCAAAGCAGAGAACCTGTCCTCCGTTTTTGACAACTCTTCAAGATAGTCAATGTCCCTCAATCTGTGCTGTGCCCACTTCTCGGCCAATCCACCATTCTCTCGCTCTGCTGGGTCCTTGGTTCTCGCAGCCAGCCAGACGCATAGCTTCGCCGCCCTGCGCAATCTGTCGAAATCCCTGTGATGCTCATCATTGAGCACAGTCGATTCCTCGCCGAGGAAGACAATGCTCCCGATCTGGCTGAGTAGCTTGCTAAAGTTCATACCCTGAATCGAGGGCTGGGAGAAATTCTTGCGCAGCTTGTCTTGGTACTCTGCCCACGTATCACCCGGCATCCTCGCGTTGAGCTTGGTGATGGACAAGAATGCTGCCTCAAGACGGCTCAACGCTGAGCCGTTTCGCTGGGGGTCAAAACTGGCGCAGGGGGCAGCCATTCCCGCGCCCAGATCGTCCAGATGGCCAATGAGCGTCTCCTTGTACTCGTCCTACGAGTCCTTCGAGATGTTCTGGATCTGTTGCTTCAGCGTGAGAAAGTCCTCCAGCACTTTTGGGCCGAGCTGCGGCTCCGTCTTCTCGACCGAATTCACTCCATGGGCAGCCGCGCCGTGCGCTGTCTCGTCATCTTCGCTATCGGTGCTCTCGAGATTCCTGAGCAACGGCGGGGACCATCGTTCCGTCGGCTCCGTGGATGGTGCTTTGGACCGTCTCTTGGACGTGGGGGATGTAGTGAAGTCTTGTGCTTGACCACGGCCCACGGCCCTGGCATGACTCGCAGAGGCAGGCGGCGTGAACATGAGCTGAGGATTCACGGTCTCGGGGAAGAGTTCGTTGGCTAGTCTTGCGGACGCGGTAGTTCGCGGATCGATGTCTTTGTCGATGATGTGTTGGGGCTCGACACTAGTGCCAGCTCGCGTAGACTTGCCCGGTAAAGATCCCGTTCCCATTTTGTGCCCCAGCTTGATCTCATCGCCGCTGTTTTTGTCATCCTCGTCCGCCAAAGCCAGATCTGGATCCAGTTGTGGTCGCTGGCGATGCTTCTTGGCCTTCTTGGAGGATCGAGATCTGAAATAGTCATCCTGGTCGTCGTGTTCTCTTTTGGACTCGCGAGTCATCCTGGTCTGATCTTGCTCAGATGCCATGAGAAAGCGTCTCAGCTTTTCAACGAAAACATGCTCTTTGATACATCTCTGTAGATCAAGGCGCTTGCTCACAGAGAGCCTTAGACTAGCCGGCGGTCTCCGTATCTGGGTTTGCGCCTGCACGCCGGTGAAGAGGGTGAATTGATGGCCAGCCCAAGCCTTGGCAATACCTTTACCCGCGCACATGTCCAGGAGATGGACAATTTGCTGTCTCGCGTGCTGATAGCTGAGCTTGTGTTTGTTGTGGCTCTTGGGATACAGCCCGCGTGCTTCTGCCATAAAAGCACCAATCTCGGCCAGGAACTTCTCAGCCTCATCGCCAGCTGTGGTCGTCTTTGGGGGTCTCATGACGATTGCGGAACGAGACTGGTTGGTTTTCAAATGCGGATGGAGCCGTGGGCGTGGTTATATCTGGAGCAGCACAAGTTCAACAGCAAACGGAAAAGAAACAAAGAGGCGAAGCGAAGAGCAACAGGCCGATAACTATGCTGCAAAAGAGTGAAAATACCTTAACCGATGCGTGGTCGCCTCGGTCTGGGGCAACGTAGGTCGCAAGGAGAGAGGGAGAGGGCGGACCACGAGGAAGCGAAGGCATGATGAGAAGAACAGAACAAAGGCGGAACTAAGGTGAAAAGCCAGTGAGAGTAGTGGTCTACCTATTAAGAAAGAGGAAAAGAGAATCTTCAGATGAAAGGCGAGTGCCTCCATCTTGTTTGCCCCTTTTCTTTCGTCTCGCGCAGCAGTACGCGGGTGTCCATAGACAGCGGATATTATCACATTTTCATGACAAGAATTCGAAGAAGACTTGTTGACGAAGTACTTCACTGCAGGTAACTGTCAAGCACTTTTAATGCTATAATAAACTCCGAATACATGTCAGGGCATAACCCATCTTCGTCAAGAGTCCCTGAAGACGCCCACGCACAATGTCACCGCATGTACTCCGTACGTACTACTCGTAATACAACCCCTTTCAACACTTTGATTACTTGAAAACAGACCTGATCTATTCCGTTGTTTTGTACTTCTTTTACAACTCGTCGTGGAACTCGCCATCCTCGCCGCCATCAGCACCCTCGCCGCCGGCACCGCCGTAAATCTTGGAGGTGATGGGGTATGCGACGTTGGACAGCTTCTCCTTCTGCTCCTCAAAGTCCTCGGTGGTGGCCTCGGCACTGTTCTCCTCGAGCCACTCGACAGTCTCCTTGACGGCATCGAGGATCTATCACTCGTTAGTCACTGTGTCTTATCATCCATCAAAATCTACACTTACAGTCTCCTTGTCCTCGTCGTCAATCTTGCTGCCGAGACCGTCATCGTCGTTGACCTGGTTCTTGAGGTTGAAGGCGTAGTTCTCAAGGCCGTTACGGGCCTCAATGCGCTCACGAGTGGCCTTGTCCTCCTCGGCGTACTTCTCGGCCTCAGCAACCATGCGCTCAATTTCCTCGGGGGTGAGACGGCCCTTGTCGTTGTTGATAGTGATGCTCTCGCTCTTGCCGGTGCCCTTGTCGTGGGCAGAGACCTTGAGAATACCGTTGGCGTCGAGGTTGAAAGACACCTCAATCTGAGGAACACCACGGGGGGCAGGGGGGATGCCGGTAAGCTCGAACTTGCCGAGTATGTTGTTATCCTTGGTCATGCCACGCTCACCCTCGTACACCTGGATCAGAACCACGGGCTGGTTGTCGGCGGCGGTGGAGAAGATCTGGCTCTTCTGGGTAGGGATGGCAGTGTTGCGGGAGATCAGCTTGGTCATGACACCACCAGTGGTCTCAATACCGAGGGTAAGAGGGTTGACATCCATGAGGACGAGCTCCTCGGTACCCTCCTCGCCAGAAAGAACACCAGCCTGGACAGCGGCACCGAAAGCGACAGCCTCGTCAGGGTTGATACCCTTGGAAGCCTTCTTTCCGTTGAAGTACTCCTCAATGAGGGACTGGACCTTGGGAATACGGGTGGAACCACCGACGAGAACAATATCGTCAATCTCGCTCTTCTTGACGTTGCCCTGCTTGAGGACATCCTCAACAGGCTTCAGGGTCTTCTTGAAGAGGTCCATGTTGAGTTCCTCGAACTTGGCGCGAGTGAGAGTCTCAGAGAAATCGTTGCCCTCGAAGAAAGCCTCAATCTCGATGCGGGTGCTCATCTGCGAAGACAGAGTGCGCTTGGCCTTTTCGGCCTCACGCTTGAGCTTACCCATGGCCTTGAGGTCCTTGGTGATGTCGACGCTGTTCTTCTTGTTGTAGGACTTGGCGAAGAAGTTGATGACACGCTGGTCAAAGTCCTCACCACCCAAGTGGGTGTCACCAGAGGTGGCCAGAACCTCGAAGATACCCTGGTCAATGGAGAGCAGAGACACGTCGAAAGTACCACCACCGAGATCGTACACAATGATCTGACGCTCGGCGTCGGTCTTGTCCAGACCGTAGGCGATAGCGGCAGCCGTGGGCTCGTTGACGATACGGAGGACGTTGAGACCAGCGATGATACCGGCGTCCTTGGTGGCTTGGCGCTGATTGTCCTGGAAATTCGTTAGCAAGCCTCTAGGCCTGTGCCAGTGGCTCAGTACGTACGTTGAAGTAGGCAGGCACCGTCACGACGGCGTGGGTAACCTTCTTGCCCAAGTACGACTCCGCAACCTCCTTCATCTTGCCAAGAATCATAGCAGAGACTTCCTCGGGGGTGAACTGCTTCTGAGCACCGTTCACCTCGACCTGAACAATAGGCTTGTCATCCTTGTTTAGGACCTTGTAGGGGAAGTGCTTCATATCAGACTGCACATCCTTATCCGAGAACTTGCGACCGATGAGACGCCTGTGCAATGTTAGAATATGGACTCTTCTCCTCTGCACAGGTGTCCTTACTTGACATCGTAAATGGTGTTGTAGGGGTTGCCGGCAGCCTGGTTCTTGGCCGAGTCACCAACGAGACGCTCTTCCTCTGTGAAAGCGACGTATGAAGGAGTAATTCGGTTACCCTGGTCGTTGACGAGAATCTCGACTTTGCCTTTTTGCATCACACCGACACAGCTGTAGGTGGTACCCAAATCCTGTAGAAGGTACGGTCAGCGATCTTGGACAAGCCGCGAGCACTTGAAGCCGCCCACTTACGATACCGATAACGGTGCCCAGGTTCTCTGCCTCATCGGCAGCAGCCGCAGGCTGCACCATGGCGAGAGGGGAGAAAAGGAGGGCGATCCAACAAAGGAGGCCCAGGCCTAGGGCCAGCGTACTCCTTGACGAGCGCGCCATTGTGGCAGAAATGTGGGATGTGTATCAAGCACGTGGAAAGAAAAGCTCGATCAGGAAGTGTGAGGAAGGAAAATGCACGGAAGCGAGGTTCTACCTGGTCCTCAAGCTTCGGATCTGGCTGATTGGGGGGGAGATGGGAAGATGAAGCTTGGTGGGAGAAGAAGGTGTGTCTTATGTACAAGTCCAACAGCGCTGCTCATCTCGAAAGGCTGAGCTGTCCTCAAACGACGTCCCGCACAAAAAGGCCACATTTCATCACTGGCCTTGCCGCCACCTGCCCCCCTGGCGCTGCCCCACGTGACAGGGGTGGTAGTGACAAGGGTCGTACACTGTTTTCAACACTGTAAAGCCTCAGGGTCGCGGGTGTCTCTGTGCACTTTTTGCTGGTTGAGTACTGCAGCGGTGAGAGCAGCACAGTGCAATTATTCGTGCTCTGCTACTCCGCGACCTGACTTCCCCGACCTCCTCACACTTTACTTCCGGCTACGGTGGTCAATTGACACGTTGTGGCAGTCAATAGCTCAAACGTTCAGATCCGATGCAATTGTGTGTGTTAAACGCATACATCCGTAGACGTTGGCCAGTTAGACCTCAGTGAGTGCTTGTCCGGCATTCGAGAACATTCCCGGCAATCCAAAGTGCAAACAAACCACGGCAACGGAGGGAGTGGGGTTCAAAACCGTCACCACAATTGGGGTTCCCTTCCTTCAATGCGAGCACAGTGTCGGCGCGATGCACACCTTTCGCCAGAAAGCTCTCGTGTCAAGTTCATAGCATCTGCATACGTGCATCCCGCAATGTATTGCTAACTTGTCTTTGTGATCATAAAGCGGCCTATGACTCTATCAATCCAGCTGCAATCGTCTCTCCCCCACTTCGAATGACGACCCGCTGGCCAGCTTCGAGAGGTACCTTGGTTTCAAGCTTTATTTTAACACGCGCGACACCACCTGGCTGCACGATCTTTGGCTTCTTTTTGATCACCTCGCCTGTAGCTTTATCCAGTGTCGCGATGATGCTCTGTATTTGCCCAGCCGCGTGCAGGCGACCACGATGCAGGTCGATTGGCGATGGCAGCAAGTGATCAAACGCCATTGCCTTCATCATAAAGGAGTCACCTGTGGCGATGGCATCCTGTGGGTGACATAGAATATCCCCAACCTTCATATGAACCGGGTCAATGTCAGTCAACGACAAATTGACGTTGTAGCCTGCGACAGCCCAGTCTCTTGTCTCGCCATCGACAGAGATGGACTTGATGTGCGCAGTTTCTCCACTTGGCTGAATCACGAGGACATCGCCAACTTGCATCGTACCGGTATCTATGCGTCCACCTATGGCCTGTGAGCCCTGTTGTGACCGGAAGATTTCTGAAATCGCCATTCTCAAGGGCTTCTGCAGAGCACGAGCTGCTGAGGGCCCGGACGCCTCCAAAGCTTCAATCAGCGTGGTGCCCTTGTACCACGCGGCCGCCGGGTTCTCGATGGGCTTCACAGTATTATCACCATTCAACCCCGAGATAGGTATGAAGCTGACGTGCTTTTCCTGAAACCCTAGGCCTGTGAGGAAGCCGGTGACCTCATAGAGGATTTCGTTGAATCGTTCCTGAGACCAGTCCACCATGTCAAGCTTGTTGATCGCCACCACAAGTCGCTGGACACCCAGACTGCGCAGAAGAAGCACGTGTTCTCTTGTCTGGCCTTTCAACCCCTTCTCGTAAGCACCGGTATTGGCATCGATGACTAAAACAGCGAAATCGGCCTGACTTGCACCGGCGATCATGTTGGGCACAAAATCCTGATGGCCTGGTGCGTCGAGAATGGTGAACTTTGTAACGTCCGTCTCAAAGTGGTTGGTCGCAATGTCGATTGTCACTCCTCGTTCGCGTTCGTCACTTCTCTGGTCCATGACCCAAGCCAGAGCAAAAGACTGTTTCCCAATCTTCTCTCCCTGTCGACGGTATTTATCAATAGTCCGTTGCTCGACAAACTTGAGTTCTGTCAACAGCCGACCCATTAGAGTACTTTTTCCCGCGTCAACATGCCCTACACATGTCAGTTCATTGGTCTGTGAGATGTCTTCTGAATACTTACCCACGACAACAAAACTAACGCTACGCTTGCTAGCGCTATTCTCAAACTCTTTCACCACGTTGAGCCCTTTGGTCTTTGGGGGAGGTGCATCGCTGATCTTCAAGGTTGACAAATCAGAAGCTGCCTGCTCTGTGCCGCTGGACTTCTGTGCCCCCTCATTCTTTTTGGCTGAGGCCTTTGCTTGTGCTGTGGCCTTTTTGCCCGCTAGACCAGGTCAATATTAGCAAACTATTTTGCCTTCGCAAAATTCGAACCTTGCGACTGTGCAGCGAACACAATGTCGTCGGGGCTAGGTGTGGAAAAGGTGTCCGCAGAGTATTGAGAGGACAGGGTGTATGGTATGGGAAACAAGTCTCTCGGAGGGTCTCTGGGGGCCGATTGGGTAGGACCAAGCAAGGTGCGTGCGAATGCTGAAGGTGCGGACGTAGGCTCGGGTAGCTCCACAACCGATTCTTCTTGAGCAACCGATGGTATGGTTTGAGGAGGCTCAGAATCGGCTTCTTCATTTTCGAGTTCGGCTTGCTCAGGAACCCCGACTTGCACGTCGGCGGCTTTTGACAGCTTTTGTCTCTTTGCGAGCGGATTGACCGGCACTTCATCCTCTTGGCGGGCTGCGGACAGAGATAGTTTTCCCAGATCTTTCTCGGCTTGAGCAGTGTTGTCGGCGGCACCCTTCTCGTCTTGCTTCTTCTTCCTAGCTGCGGCAAGCTTTTGCAACTTGCTCATCCCTGCCTCGCCACCGCCCAAGAGACCCCCTTTCGGCTGCCATGGTTTCATGAACATGGCATGTCGATCTCGTGGCGTGTTTAACCAAGGCATGTCGTCAAAAGCGCCCAGAGAGACGGGTGTTGGTGCTGTTGAAGCTCTCAAAGCTGACAGCGCACTTGCAGCAAGCGGACTCCCGTAGCCACCCGCTTCGGCCCCATATGATGCCCAGGGAGACTCTGGAGAAGCAGGAAAGAACATAGTACATGACGTACCTTCCGGAACCTTCTTGGGTGGAGGAGGCTTAGAGGCTGGCTGGGTAGTTCGTGGGTTTACGAACTCCTTTCTCAAATATGCCACAGACTTCTCTACGTCGTAGAAGTAGTGCCATAACGCGTCTTGAATCACCGCCAACGTGACCTTGTTCGAGTCTTTCCCCAAGGCTTTGCGAACATCTGCCGTGCCCTTCGTCATTGCAGCCTGGTCCTCGGCACTCATCTCGCCTTCCTCGCCGTAGCCTTCGCCCTCATATTCATCGTCGTAGCCATCGTCGTCGAACTCATCGACGTACTGACTGCTAGCCATCTCAGCTAGGTGTGGATAATGGTGCGCTGAAGCTCGTCGACCGTCGACAGGCTCCCTAGCGTCGGTGGCAAAGAACTGCACGTGGCTTGAAAAAAGTCGAAATGTAGAAGAAAGACGAGTTTCTATAAGCTCATATATGTTGCGATATAACCGGAAAGGAGTGTAAAAAGACCTTGAGGCGGAGATGAAGTAAAATCTTGCAAAGTCAACATCTAGCTCGAGCTCGAGTGACCCTTAACGGAGCTTGCCTTGAGTCGTGACGCCGATGAGGGGCACAAGCTGGGCAGGCACCATGACAGCCTGATGGTGGGGCAAATTTCTTATCTTCAGGCTTATCGTAGCTACTCCGCCGGACTATTCATTTCCCGCCGACCGCTACGAGCATCTGCAGCGGCCCCTGATGGATGGCGGGCGGCGCTGCTGAGACACCGCTGCCGCTGTATTCAAAAAATTCGGGTTTGATGCAGAGACCCCCATTCGAAGCTTCCAGCATCCTCACAACGCCCTGAGGAGACCTGAGAATCTATCATCTCTGACTTATCTCGTTACATTGATTCCTAGTGTTCGTCAAGAACACGGTCCAGAGTCAAGATGGCCATGAGTAAGCTCCAGAATCCTCATGGCGGGGAAGATGCAATTGAAGCTAACGTGGGCCAGATCTCGACATGTCGAATGGTACAGCACCACCTCATGCAGGACGGCCGTGACAGAATGATGCTGACCTCGCCTAGCGGCGGTGATGAAGGATGAGCAGGGACGTCCCTTCATTGTCGTCAGAGAGTAAGAATACCCACCGAGATTAAACCATTCGAGACCGAGCGACTGACTATGTTTTAGTCAGGGGAAGAAGAAGCGCCAGTTCGGAAACGAGGCCGTTAAGTCACACATTCTATCTGCACGCACAGTAGCAAACATTGTGAAGACTTCTCTCGGACCCCGCGGTCTCGACAAAATTCTCATCTCCCCCGACGGCGATATCACGATCACGAACGATGGTGCCACGATCTTGCAGCAAATGGAAATCAGCAACCACGTAGCGAAGCTACTAGTTGAACTCTCCAAGTCCCAGGATGACGAGATTGGTGATGGCACAACAGGCGTAGTAGTCCTCGCCGGCGCTATGCTCGAGCAGGCTGCCGACTTGATCGACAAAGGCATCCACCCCATCCGCATTGCCGACGGCTACGATCAGGCCTGCGACATCGCATGCGAAGAACTCGACAAGATCTCGGACGTAATCGACTTCACCAAGGAGGACACGGCCAACCTCGTCAAGGTTGCCCGCACAAGTTTGGGCAGCAAGATTGTGTCAAAAGCTCACGACCAATTCGCCAACATTGCGGTCGATGCTGTGTTGAGTGTAGCTGATCTTGAGCGCAAAGACGTTGACTTTGAGCTGATAAAGGTTGACGGCAAGGTCGGCGGTGCGCTGGAGGACACTCTCCTGGTCAAGGGTGTGATTGTCGACAAGGACTTTTCGCATCCCCAGATGCCCAGCGAGGTCAAGGATGCCAAGATTGCCATCTTGACCTGCGCGTTTGAGCCGCCCAAGCCCAAGACCAAGCACCACCTTGATATTACCAGCGTCGAGGAGTTCAAGAAGCTCCAGAATTACGAGCGGGAGAAGTTCATTGAGATGATCGACCAGATCAAGGAAACCGGCGCCAACTTGGCCATCTGCCAGTGGGGATTCGACGACGAGGCCAACCACTTGCTACTACAGAACAAGCTCCCCGCCGTACGGTGGGTTGGCGGCCCCGAAATCGAACTTATTGCCATTGCGACCAACGGCAGGATCGTGCCCCGATTCGAGGACCTCTCCGCCGAAAAGCTTGGCCGTGCCGGTACCGTCAGGGAGATGACCTTTGGCACCACGCGAGAGAAGATGCTGGTCATCGAGGAGTGCGCCAACACTCGAGCCGTCACCGTGTTCGTACGTGGCAGCAACAAGATGGTGAGTATTAGAGTGGCGAAAGCGAGGGCGATGGAAGCTGACAAATTCTAGATCATCGACGAGGCCAAGCGATCTCTTCACGACGCTCTTTGTGTGGTACGCAACCTTGTGCGCGACAACCGTGTGGTCTACGGCGGTGGTGCTGCCGAGATTGCCTGCTCCTTGGCGGTAGAGGACGCAGCGACCAAGACTCCTGGCCTGGAGCAATACGCGATGCGCGCCTTCTCCGAAGCGCTCGATCAGGTTCCTATGGCTTTGGCGGAGAACAGCGGCCTCAACCCCATCTCCACACTGGCGGAGGTCAAGAGTCAGCAGGTGAAGGCTGGACCTGATGGCCGTGGAAAGCTGGGAGTGGACTGCATGGGCCGCGGAAACAACGACATGAAGGACGCTTTCGTGATCGACCCGCTGATTGGCAAGAAGCAGCAGTTGCAGTTGGCGACGCAATTGTGTCGCATGGTGCTGAAGGTGAATAATGTCATTGTGTCGGGGGCGGACGAAAACGACTTCTAGACGATGTAGACGCAAGTGAAATGAAACCGAGATCGAAAAATCTCATGATGAATATTAGCTCGTCGACTTTTATTCGTCTTTGGACCAGGGACGATGGTTGACGCACGCAAGTAGCTCCCTGGAAGCTCCATATGTGGTATGTAGTATTGGTATCATTCCCTCTTCGGGCCCAAGCTCGATCGACACTCGACATGCATCACCAATTCATCAAAACAATCCCCTCATACAAGGTCAATCTTATGCAATACTCCTTTGCACAAGGAAACAAAACCCACCACTCAATCGCACGCCATCCGGGAGAAGCCATCTAGCACAAACCAGCATAACCAACGAGACACTGCCCGACCAAGAGATCGCCATCCCCGCCCGCGCCGGTACGCGTCAGATCACCAAGTGCCGGCCCATTACACGCAAATGGCATAGAAATTCGAGGACTGGTTGCTTTCACCTGCAAGCGAAGAAAAGCCAAGTGCAACGAGGCCGCCCCTGAATGCGGTCAGTGCAGCTGCCTAGGGCTGGATTGCCAATACGAAAGCACGCCGAAACCACAACCGCGCTGTGCAGCACCTTCAACTTTGCAAATGCAAGATCTCAGATTCTTCCAGCATTTTCTGCTCACGGCATACCGCACGCTGCCCCCTTCAGGGAGATGAGGCGTGGCAAGCGGTTGGGCAGATGTCGCATCAGGTATGTCGTCAACATGTCACACCGGCTGAAGAATGGAGGTTCAGTTATACAAGTATGACTTCTTCGTCCATGCGATGCTCGGCTTGGTGCTTCTCATCTCGGGATGCTAGATGAGCAAGTCTACAGGGAGAGTGCTCTCATCCATGGCGTCAAGGCGATCAAGCTGATCAATGAGTTCCTGTTACGCCGAGCTCCGCCTACTGTTCCCAACAGGGGCACCACACTGGGGACTACTTTCTGCATGATATACTACTCCGCCTATATCGCTAACGGCATTACGGACTTTTAACTATGATCAGAGGCTGTAGAGTAGCTCCCTCTCAACAATACCACGGAGTCTCAGCATTGACATTGCGTAGGCTACGTTCTCGAGCCTGAAATGGGCGGAGATTAGTCCACGTCGCTCTTCAACGGCTTTGCGAGGCAACCTATGTCAACACGGTCACAGATCTTATGCCGCCCCGGCAGCAGCCAGAGCCGTTAGATGAGGCGGTGTCGAAGGGCTTCATTGCCATTACCCGACGCGTCGCCACTTTGCCAAAGCCTTGCTGAGATGGAAGTACTGGCTCTCGTACAGGAGACTGCGGTGCTGGCCGTGACAGACTTGACTCACTATGCGTTCGGCGCCCTGGTGTTGATATTTGTGCTTATAGTGACCTATGCTACCTTTTACATTTTTACCTCTACGAAAAACTTGCACAGCTCACCACTGACGAGTTTAACTCTTTCATCGACCCTCAGAATCACGTGTCTCGACTGGTCGTCATGCACATGCTCACGGTCGTGTTTGTCATCAGCCGCAAGGAAGTCGGAGTAGCCAGTGCCGATCACATGAGCAAGGCAGCAAATGGGGAAGGCGTCTACGCGAGCCGCAAGAACATGGCTGTTCAGTGGATACCGAAAATGTTCTCGGAGCTTGAGGAAAAGTGTCGCCCGTATTCATTGCGACCAGAAAGCCCATGGGTTGTCCTTCTCTTTCGCTAAGGGGGATGAGATTTGGAAACCCTTTCTGCTGCACGATGGCACGACAGTCGTGGCTAAGTTTGAGGGCCTTGGCCTCGGATAGGATATAGGTGTGCAGCCCAGGGTTGATTGAGATAGCTACTAGACTGGCTCGCGCAGTTCCGGGGATGATTCACGTACTCTCGTTGACCCAAAGCCCTACGACGGCCATTGTCTGGGAGACTTGGAGGCGGAATGGATCTTGGAGCATCGCTGGTCGAAGGTCTCCTGAGACCTGAGCTAGGTAGGGGTGTTCTCAGCTCCCAGGGCATGTATTGGCCAGCCCTCGTAGATCTCATCATCATCGACATAGGTCAGGGTTTCAATGTAGTGGTGACCGGAAGAAGAGTCTGGCCCTCAAAGCAAAATATAACATAACGACGTTGACTTAGCTCGCGGACGGAACCCACGAGCAACTTACATGTTAGAAGGTATGCCTTGAAATCTGGCAGCCGAGCAGTTGCCATATTTGAAAAAGCTCCTCGTGGCACTTCAGCGAGAAGGAATCCGGAACACTTGAGGGGTTAAGGGACAAGAGCAGATAACGTAATGCGTCGAGAGCGGAATGGCAAGTGATAGCATGGTGAGCGTTTGGAGAAACTCAGAGGCTCGAGAAACACATTTTGGCATCAGAAGCAGATGTGCGCGTAGAGCCAACAATAAAAATCCATGCCGGAGGTTGGATCGTCTAGGGTAGTGAGATGGCAATGGTATTTGAGAGAAGGCGATGCACAATACTGCGCCACATAATAATAGCCAGCCCAAGTCACACACCCAATTCAATTTAACATTCGTCAAGCTCACTATCCGAATCCTGCTTTGTCCAACACTGATATGACCACGT